CCTCCTTTCTTCCCTCTGCCACCCTTTTCTTCTCTACTTATTAGATTTTAACCACACAACACACAAAAATATATAAGGGAAAAAAACTCAAAAGAGGGAAATGTGCCTATTTTCCCCATTATTCTGTGAAGTGGGTTGGGTATGTTTTACAAACTGAAGTTTGTACACTATATGACTCCTGACAATAGAATGTATTCAGTCAATCTTGGCTGCTACCCAAGAAGACGCACGGTGGGCTCCTTCCTGATGCAAGTTTCAATCCCCCCTGCCTAAGACCCCACCCACCCCGAAGTAAAAACTCCACCAGGCCCTTGCTCGACAACACACCCCTTCACCAAAACTCCCATCGAAGTCTTCCTGCATTTGCTGCAGCGCCCAGTTTCCCTGGAGGAGGAGAAGAAGCAAGATTTGGAGCAACGTCTGAACCAGGGCAACTGTTTTCCCCTTGAACTGTTTTGCTAGTTTTTATTTATTTTTTAATTCCTGTCACTTTCATGACTCCGGAGGGTTCATAAATTAAAAGAGGGAGAGAGAGAGAGAAAAAGAAATTCGGCTCAATAACATTAAAACAAGGAACATATAACCGTCTTGATCGTTCTTGGCGTCGTTATCCTACGACAAGTATCCTGGGACAGATGCAAACGTTTTGCCTTTTTACCCTCTTTTGGGGAAAGTTGCATGTAGCTGCAACTGGGTCCCACAACCCCAACACACACACACACACACCGGCCCCAAGTCTCCGCTTAAAGGGTAAAGAGCCGGGGTCAGCTAGCACGCACCTGTCCGCCCCGCTGGATCAATGCACGTGTGAATCTCAGCAAGACTCTCCTATAAAGCGCGAGGCTCTCTCCACCAGGACCCCAGCAAAACACGCGCGCCCACGCATGCGTATTCCTCTCTGCCTGTTCTGGGCGGCGCCATCTTTTCCTATTACGTCATTGTACGGAAAGGTCCCCACCCCCCGGCCACGGCGTGGGTGAAAGGGAGAAAAGAAAATGGTGCTTTACAGTGAGGGAGCTCCCCCGGGGAAGCCTGGCCTTAGCTCTGCGTGACGTTTAATTTTTGCGCCGCTCAGAAGACATGGGTGGTACACAAGAGCCCAGATTCTGCACTTTCATTTGGCGTGCTTTAGTTTAGATTGGGGCGTCCAAACTTGGGAACTTTTAAGACTTGTGGACTTCAACTCCCAGAATTCCCCAGCAGGCAACAAGTCTTAAAGTTCCCAAGTTTGGACACCTCTGGTTTAGATCAAGGCATGCTGGAGTTTTAGGATACTAAATGCTCCAGATCTTGAATTGAGGCCATTTCGAATCATAAAGTTAAAATAAACTTTATTGTCAACAGTAACATAGTTGGAAGCGACCTTGGAGGTCATCTAGTCTAATCCCCTGCTCACACAGGAGACTTATACTAGGGATTCGAACCGCCAAACTGCCAACCTTTCTGATCGACAAGCTCAGTGTCTTAGCCCCTCAGCCACCTAGCCAAGCTTTAAGATATTGAATTGAGGCCATTTCGAATCATAAAATTAGAATAAATGTTATCATCACTTTCAATGTACACTAATCGGCATACATTAAAATGAAATTTCATTGCATAGAGCTCTCAAAAGTCACTACCTCCAATACACCCTACATAAACATGACAAAATAAATAAATACAAAATTATGCATATACTCACATATATGATACAGAGAAACAACAACCAATTTAGTTCGACTGTATACTTGGACATGGTGAGAAAAACGAATCTTGTGAGTTTACCAGAGGGATTGGCATGGAAATAAAATTGCAAGTTGCAGTCACATGACATTTCACTTAATGACTGAATAGGAAGTAATATAAGTCACAGTCACCTGGTTTTCCATTAATGACTGTAGTGTTTAGGGAGGGAGTTATTGGTTGAAATTGTGGTTGCTAAGTGAGGTCTACCTGCATTAGTGTTATTTGTAGTCTCCAAATATATATATATATATTACTCCTGGAAACACCAAACCTGAAGTAGTCAGCAGCAGCCTGAAGATGANGAGACCCTACACCATTTGTGACAAATAACAGTCCAATCTCTTCTTGTAGGCCTCCAGTGATGAAGCTCCCACAACTTCCAAAGGCAACTTCTGTTCCATGGGTTGATTGTTCTCACTGTCAGAAAGTTCCTCCTAATTTCTAGGTTGAATCTCTCCTTGGTCAGTTCCCATCCATTATTCCTTGTCGGGCCTTCAGGTGCTTTGAAAAATAGCTTGACACCACCACCACCTTCTCTGTGGCAGTCCCTTAAAGACTGAATTGCTAAACTTGTCTTTACTGACAGGAGCAAAGTTTCTTCTTCTGCACCAATCTGCCATCTTCTAAAAACTGTATAGGACCACATATAGTACCAGGGTATCTCTAGAAACTGTACTGAGTAGAAAAAGGCACAACCCTTCACAAAAGATACAACTATGATGATTCTTCGTAACAAGGGGGACTTATCGCAAATTATACTTTCTACATACCAAATGTATGAGATCTGAATGTAAAGCAATTGTTGGGTGCCAAATTAAGAACAGGTATTCCTCGATTTTACGACAACGGAGCCCAGAATTTAGGTTGCTAAGTGAGAAAAGTGTTGTGAGTTTTGCCCCATTTTACGACTTTTCATGCCATGTTTATGACGTTAATCACTGCAGTTTTTAAATTAGCAACATGGCTTTTAAGCGAATCTGGCTTCCCCATTGACTTTGCTTGTCAGAAGGTGACAAATGGTGATTACGTCACCCCAGGATACTGGAAACTGTCATAAATATGAACCATTTGTCAAGCATCCAAATGTGAATCACGTGACCGTGAGAATGCTGCAATGGCCACAAGTGTGAAAAATGGTCGTAAGTCAAATTTTTTCAGTGCCGTTATAACTTTGAGCAGTTGAGGGCTATTTGTATTCAGATAGTCACGGATAGTTCACAGTATATACTGTAACGCAACCTGTATTTTTAAAGTGTCCAACAGCCTCCTGGGTTGCCAGCTCAAAATCCTAGGTAATATTTCTTTTAATATTTTTAGTAGCGCAGTTATAAAAGGAAGGTACTTGAATAATTAAGCAACTTTGTGCTCTTTTAAGGGAATGACACATACTGTAAAATTAATCAGATATGAGAGTCAAGCAATTCTTGACTCTTATATCTTGCCTATAACTCACCTTGAAGCAAATGTTCCATCATGTTAATGGTGCCGCCAGTGACTGGCATCATAGTAACAGGTGGGGCCTCCATTCTAAGAAGTTCCCTACAACAGAACACAGAACACAACATATACATATATTTAAAAACCTAGTCCTGGTTCTCCTACGTGATCCCTTTCTCTCCTGTTACAATTTTAACTCCCAAAATTTCCAAAGCAACATGGGATCTATAGTTCCAACACAGAGGGGAGAAAGATAACTTAGTCAATAAAATACAAAGCTTCAATATTGTCTCCGCAAACAAAAAGGAAGGATTTATCCAAGGAAAAGAGAGCTGATAGGCGTTTCTCCTTTTATTATTTTTGGGCATACATCTCCTACTGTCTAATAGTCAATTAGGAATCCAAAGTCAACTAGAAGTTGAATGAACATTTGGTTGTGGTGGTATGTTTTTTTTAAAATGAGACATAGAATCACAGATTTAATAACATTGCTGTGGTGCAACACAATCCAAAGGCAAATGATGACACTCAGAACATTTTCTTGCAAAGAAAAGAGGCAATCCTTGTAAATAAGCCTTTGAAAATGGCTAGTTTAGCCTTCAGATGAGAAACAAACAGCCTGTTGCAGACTAAAAGGTGATTCAGAAATGTGGCTAGGTTAATATGCCATGCATGCTAAAATATATTGGCTTTTTCGGGTGGTGTGAAGCTAGACAGCATTATTATTAAATTAGATTTCATCTATAAAGTTTTTTATGTTTTAATTTTCATAACATATAATCACATGTATACTATTACATAGCCAACACCATATTGTATTATTAAATTTACCATCAATTCATCTTACCATCAACTCCCCAAAACAATTATTGGCTCTTCTGCTCTCCATACACCATATTTGTACCCTATCCATCACTTTCTTCTCCCTCTCTCTTCCTCCTCCCTTCCTCCTTTCTTCCCTCTGCCACCCTTTTCTTCTCTACTTATTAGATTTTAACCACACAACACACAAAAATATATAAGGGAAAAAAACTCAAAAGAGGGAAATG